TTCCCTTGGGTTTCCTTCCTCCTGCTGCTTGCAGGCTCAAGCTTTGCTCAGGTCTGTTGCTTCTCCTCCCTCAGCCTGAGGAGCTGTGAGTGCAGTGCACGTCCCTGAATGGCATGACACTTTCCTGGATGTTACAGTAACTTTGGTTTTGGTCGTGTGAAATGGAACCGACACTTGTCTGTTTTCTGGAAGGTTGTGGCCAATTTCCAAATGGTTCAGAGAAGAAATATAAATCACACTGCTTCGAGTGAGCCTGAATTTTAAAAGCACTTGTGTGTATTTCATGGCAGAGGCTCAAATGAGAGGAGAGTAGCAAAAACACCATTGAAATACACATTTTAAAATTGACTGTAACTGTATTTCACCAGCACTCAAATTGTCTAGCTAAAGAGGACATTTTTAAGAATAATAATTTCTCTAAGTATTATCCTTCCTATACTTTTTGCATAACTGTATGACATCTGCAAAAGCTTCACTGGGTAAGAGGGTCCTTAAAACAAAGAATGAGGCTTTATGAACCTCTGAGGTACAATTTCTGGCCAGAAAGAAATGTGATATATATAATATGAGTGTGAAAGTCCCAGGTGTAAATCTCTGCTCTGACTAACAAAGAAATTGGACTTCTGCATCACAAGAAGTGCCCAATACATGATGCTAGCTGGTGCTGGGTGGGATCTCTCACTCTCATTTGGAGCTGTCCTCCACAAAAGAGAGACCCAAATGAGGATCTCCTGTGACCCACTGAGTATGGCCCTCACAGGGCTTAGAATGAAACGATTCTGTGTGGAGTGGAAGAGCTCTAGCAGAAGATCAGTGCCCCAGGTGAGAAGAGCCAGTGGCCTGGAGCTCTGCTCCAGTTCTGACATGTAGAGATGTTTAAGGACTTGGAGCATTGCTCTCTCCGATGCTAGGTAAGTGTCCTGTTTGCATGGTGCTGACTGTTCTATGAGCTCTTGGGTATTTAAACTTTGTACTGGATGAGTTGCATGGAACTACTAGTAATTTTTTTCAGGCTCAGTCTGCCTAAGCTCTTGTGAAACTTCTTGCTTGTGTTATTTTAGCTGTACCATAATCTCTGTATATGAGGGAAACTGATGTAAATAGTGATTAATCTGATTTTTAAAGCCTGATTTTAGGAAAACATCGGCCCCTGGTTTAAGGATGGGTATTGGTTTTAACCTGATCAAATCAAAATAATTTGATTATTTGTATTTATAAATATGGTGAGAACTCACAGGGTTGCTCCCCCGAAGTTGTGCTCGTACCGTTTCACCTTTGAATTACTCAACCAGGACTAATTCTGAGAATTAAAAATTAACTTCCCTGGTATAAAGTAGTGCAGAGGTTAATTCTATTACTCTTTTCATCATTACTGATGAGAGTTTTCAATCTTGTGCTTGCTACTTGCTGGAAAAGCCTTTATTTAAAAGAAGCTGCGACTGGTATGTTTTCCCCCAGTAGAGACAATTGTCTACTGCAGTTTATCAGGAACGATGAGATGCAAAGTGACATCTAGCTGATATATTTTTATTCAGTTCTGAAAGTGACATCAAAAATTGTTACTAATTGGTACTCCTGAATGACCTTGTAAGTGATAAGCTGCACTGCTGTGTAACTATTGCAGAAGAGCAACCTCTTTTATGCATGATGAAAGTATTATCTCCTCTCCTGCCTAGTAGTAATTTTAAATTACTGAGATGCTCCATGAATCTTCTTGGTTTTTTTTTTTAAACCAGAGCTGAATTTTAGAATATATTATAGTCTATAAGGGCAATCATATGAAGTATAAAGACACCATATAAAAATCATGTAAAGACTCATTAACTGGCATATCTGAACCCCCCAAAAATGGAGGGGGAAACCCACAGCATATCATGCCACATAGTCATTTATTATAGCCACAAAACAAAATCAAGCAGTAAATACTCTTATGCCTGTAAATACCCTTACTGCACAAATAAAATGGTGAGAACTGAAAAAGTTATTAATCTTCATTGCTGAGCTGGGGCAGAGAAGGTAGTTTACAACAGCAACCTTGGAGTGCTGTTGGTTTGTAATAATAGAACTGAATAATTGACATGTTTTATCTTACTTTGTCTGCATCTCCCTCCCAAAGCATTTACGTTCCTCTTTCTGAGTCTACTTCAGGCTTCACCAAATAATGACATACAGTATTAAACAGCACTGGTATGGGAAGTGCTGGGAATTTCCAGAGGCAAGAAGACAGTAAGGGCACACTTGCCTTCTAAAAGGTTTTAACCTAACCATAGAGGAGTGCCCACCAATTTCACCTGCAGTGTCTTTGCACAATTCTGACTCTGCCTAAAATCTGTGACAGTCAATATACAGAAATGTAATCGGCTAAAAGACATCATTTCAAAGTCACCAAAAGAAAGAAATGTGACATGCTGAGACAGTCTCCAGTCAGGCACCAGTACCCATAAACTGTTAGTAATTGATGTTGGTTTGTCTGTCCAGGGAAATGCACTGGCCAGTGCCATAGGCAGGTGTGGATTGCAGCACAGCACACACACACTCAGATTGCTCTGGGGATTTAAGCTTCCATGGCTGCAAGTGATTTGAAATGAAAAATTCACCTTTTTCAAACCAGATGCAACTATGGATAGCTTCTTCCAAGGATAATGGAGCTAGAGTTCCCCAAGGACACACTCTTTTTTGTATTCTTATAACAAGTGTATGTAATTTACTACAAATGCATCCATGGAAACACTGATGAAACTGGAGAATTTCTTGGTGACTTGGACCTGGTACTTTTTGTTGCTCTGTGCATGATGTTTATCCTTCAGGTGACTTAGCATTAAGCTTGACAAGGAATAAAAAAATAAATTATTAGTGCTGTGTCTTTAATCTTCCTCTTGTTCTCCTTTATAATTTCTCTTCTTGCACTGTATGGCTCTGTTGCTGAGAGCTACCAGGTTTGCCATCAAATTCTTGTTTATGCTTGACTTTATGATGGAGACATTCAGCTTTATGACTAATAAGCTCATTAAGCCTAGCCTGCGTCAGCCTAAGCTGCTTTGACTCCAAGCCATGGCGATGCCTTTTGTGAGGGGCTCTCCAATCCCACAATCTGTGCCTTTAGAGCCTTAATTGTGTCAATTTTCTCTGTGGTTTTTTTCATCTCCTTGAAAGGCAATTATCTGCCTGATTCCAGGAGACTTTTGGAGCCTTTTGACAGGTGAAGGGAAATGTTTCTTTGTCATCATTTTGATCCTAGAATTTCAACAGATGATCATAAATGTAATTAAAAGTGATTAAGTTAGTCTGCTGTTCTGGCCTGTTGGACTCAGGGTAAAGGCCAGTATTAGGTAGGTGGAGGAACAGACTCAGTGCTTGGGTTTGTTTGGTGGGATTTTTGTAGTTTGTTTACTCACTAGAGCGAGATGTATTTGTGCATTCAGAGCTGGCTACTGCTTCATCCCCTTTATAGCTCACTTATATAAGAGAAGCACAGTATTTAAACTGGAGGTGGTTCCACATGGTAACACCAAATGTGTTTCTTAACTCTGCCCCAAACCTACTGAGAAACTGCTGTGGGACTTCTTTTTTTTTTTATTATTATTATTTTTTTTAATCCCCTTAGTGTAGGAAAGTGTTAAAATTTGTATTACCTGTTAATACACACACCCACTTGCTTATGAGTGGCGTTTCATCAACACACATTCATTTCCCAGTCTTGACTTATTACTAGGCACAAAGTATACGAATAAATGAAATTACTGCTTAATTTTCTAGTTTTTCTGTAGGATTCAGATTAGTGTTCTTGTTCAATGAGAGATTTGTGACACCTGATGCATTATTAATGCTTGCTTGTATTCCAGTTTGAGTTTTGGATAAGTTCATCACTGATACAGGTCTATTAAAGACTAACTTGTTACACCAGAAGCTCAGGTGTACACCAGAGTTTGGGATGTGCCATCATCCTGCAGCATAGGTTTCACTGGTTTTTTTGGAGAGTTTTCCATGTTGTCATACCCTAACATTGTCCAGATTGTTACAAAAACTTCCTTTCCTCTTTTTCAGTCTTCTCATTAATTCTTTACTCTGTAAAAAAACCCAAATCCGATCCAAAACAAACAAAAAAAGAACTCAAAAAAGACTGTGAAAATTTGACTTGTAGCCTTGGAAACATTACAAGTCAGCTGTAGTTGCCTGTCATGCTTTTCTTTCTTTTTTCAGAGTTTCCCATTACTGATTTTCTGTAAAATGCTAATTTCCAGTCCCAAAGGCATCTGGAGGCCAACATTGCGAGCAGTTACTAAGCCAAAGGCTGTGCACATGAGCACTCAACACAAGGCAAATTGTCAATACTGTTGCTGACACTGTGTGTGATTTTCTTTGCAGCAGATGTCAGGGTTCATGTGCTATTGTGGAGTGGTGCTAATCCATAGCTGCTCCTTCTAGGTGGATGGAAATGCCCTCGGGTTTAAGCCTTAAAATGCTTTAAGATCCCTTGAAATGAAGAGGATGGTCTAAGTGCGATGTGTGTCTCTTATGTTTGTCAGGAGTGCATTCAGAAAACTGTCATTATAGGGGCAGATTCTTCTCTGATAAATTACAAAATTGACTGTGGATGATTCACAGCTCAGTTATAATTATTCCCAGTGCTAATTATGTGTCAGAATTACCCAAAACACTGTCTCAGACGTGACTTGCATATGCTGTGTAATCATGAAACTGCTTTCTCCAGTGTCACCTTACTGTAGGCCCTACTCCACAGTCCTTCCTTGTGAGGGCTCCTCTCTCACCCAAGCAGGCCCTAGGATTTCATGGAAGCTAATTACTCAGGATAAGGATGTTCATGACAAGCTTTTAAACTAGTTTTGTAGTGAAAAAGCTTGAAAATACTTTGCAATTCTTCAGTACTCACTGCAGCCAAAATATATCTTTGGTGATTTATAGACTTATAGTCCATGAGAACTTGCCCTGTCTCATGTAAAGATGTTTTAAGATTGTCTTTTTATTTTTTTTTTCCCCAGCTTCTGGAAAAAACTAACAATATGTTTGAGGAACCTGATTCTGCAGCTACGAAAAGTCCTTTGCACTTAGCTGTAAGTATGAGATGTGTAACGTGTTTGATCAGCATCTCCTAGAATAATTCCTTAATCTCTACCTTTGAAGCAAATTTAATCACAGGCTTGTTTTGTAAAAACTGGAAAAGGATGTAGGCCTACATATAACAAGAACAGGTTCTGGGCTGGAATAGTTAATTAAGTTTTTGGCAGCTGAAGCTCTTGGTTCTCACTGACTCTAACACTCAGGTAAGGAGATGACATAGACACTGAAGTGAAACTAAATGGAAGTTCATGACTTTTATTTAGCACAATTCTATAAGCGTGGGGCCAGAGCCTGAGCCTACAGCTTTGATCATGGATACTTTGTTCTCCTGGAGATGTGCAGAGTGAAAAAACTGTCTGGCACACCACTGGGTGTGGGAAAGCATGTTTGCAAACCCTGCAGCATCCTGTAAGAGAGCTGCAGAAACTGTGATATCCACATGTGTGGCCTCAGAGCTCACAACAGCTGCCCTTTCCCATCAGCTCATGATCCCTCTGCAGTTAGCTTGTGCAGAATCACAAAGCAGTTGAGGTTGACATGGACCTCTGGAGATCGAGCCCCACCTTCATGGTAAAAGCTGAATCAGCTAGGGCAGACTTTCTCAGGGCTGTGCCCCATCACATCTTGAATATCTCCAGGCATGTAGAGTCCACAGCTTCAACTCTGGTCACGCTAATTATACATCATGTATAAATAAAAAGGATGTTCTCTGCGAGTCTGACAGTAAGGAGATGAGGGCAGTCCCTACACAGCTGCAGGAAATGTTTCCAGTTTCCAGGGCTATCCACTGGGTTTCTGCAATGCCACCTGTGTGGCTGTTGGTCCCAGTGTGACTGTAGGTCTGGAAGTACATCTACTTGTCCACTGTAGTTGTTCTGCCAAATGATTCTGCTGACAGGAATACTCCATGAAGCATCAGCTGTAAACAGCAGGTCAAGTTTGTGTTAGTATTTGCACAAAGATCTGGTTTGAGAATTGCTTTTGTTTCATTGGAGACCAGCACGTGTCAAATTTAGCACCCAGTGAGGTGATAATCCATGCAACCTCTGACCAGTATTACTCTACTGATATATATACTGACATATATATATCTCCAGTTTTTGAAGCAAACATGTCCCTGACAAACACTGTAGAATGTGAAAAATGAATTGTTGATTGACCGTTCCTGAACTGGCAAATTACTGTCTGAAATTCCTCACCCTTGGGTTGTACTAGAAGGTTAGAGCAAATCAAGAATCATAATTTCTTCCCCTAAACACTAGGAATTTTTTAGTTTCTTGGCTACAGTGTAATTTGGGGAAATCAAGTTGGAGAGAGTCATAAGGAATTGAGATAATGTACAATTTCTGTTGTGTTCAGGAGACACTGACAAGGGTGGGTTTTATTCACAATTTATGTAATGAAAGTCTTTGAACGACAAGACTTGTATTCCTTACATGACACATCTCATACTTCTAGGCCTATAACGGTCATCATCAGGCCTTGGAGGTCCTTCTCCAGTCTCTGGTAGACCTGGACATTAAGGATGAGAAGGGACGCACTGCTCTGGACTTGGCTGCGTTCAAAGGACACGCAGAGTGTGTGGAGGCTCTCATCAGCCAGGGTGCTTCTGTCACTGTCAAAGACAATGTCACCAAAAGGACCCCTCTCCATGCCTCAGGTGAGTGTTACCTTGTTACACTTACGGTACAAACCTTACCACACAGAAGCAGTTGCCTTTACCTACTATGGCTATGCACACTTCTTCTAAAGAGAGGATGATTTTCACATGTACTGAGGACTGCTGTCCAGTTAAACCCCTTATCTTCCATTTAACTAGACTTTTTCCCTCTGTCCCTGTGATTGTCCTCCCTCACACAGTGTCCTGTATCCTTCCACACCACTACTGCTCTGCCCTTACCTGCCTGCCTCTACCTGACTTCCCTATTACCACCTACTCCTCCAGACGTGTGCTTACCTGCCTGCCTCTACCTGACTTCTCTATTACCACCTACTCCTCCAGACGTGCGATGTTTCCCCTGTGACACCTTCTCTTAACAGCTCCTCAGCCAAAAAATCAGGGCAAGAGAGAACACTTGTCTCACTGCTTTTCCTTTGCAAGAAAGATTGGAAAATGTGTGTAGGCTCCGACTGGTGATGAAATTATCCTGGTGTTCAAACCTTGCAACCTTTTGCTGTGGTAACACTGCAGAAATCCACCACCCCCTTCCAGACCTCCTCCTGAGCTAGCTTGTGCACTTGTTTGTCCTGGGAGCCTGCTCCATTCCTCCTGTGGGGTGTTCACTATGTAACATGCATAATTAACCTGGAAACGCAGATGCTGACATTTATTTGCAGGTGGTTATTTGGTGCATACCTGTCAGGTAAAGCCACGGAAGAGCCCAAGGGAACTGTGTCCCCTGCATTTCTGAGGGGCTCCGTGCAGTGTAGCAGTGGCCTCTAGTGGGAAGGAAAATTAATGCTGCATTGGATAATTAATTCGGGACCAGACTTAATAGTCTTTCTGTTTATCTTTTAATCTCGCTAAGATTACAATGCATGTATGTCCTCTAGTATCAGTTCATTCTCTGTGTGTGCTCATGGAAGTGCAGTCTGAAAACATAACGTCAAACAGATTATTAGCAATTTTGTCTGCAGGAAATGCATGGGATCCATCCTTACTGCACACTGCAAATACTTGCTGCCTTCTGTAATTTTGCACCAGAACTGAGCACTTTTCTCCCTATGATAATACTGATGGTTTAATTAATTTAAATCAAGATCAGTGCCACCACAAAACTCAGCTGTGTTGGTCAAGAGCTTTCCTATAGTCACTTCACACGTATCTTGGGGTGTGACTTTGTTTGATAGACCATCACTAGCAATGATTTTACATTTATTTAAAAATCTAGTTATAGACATAGGTTTCTAGTTGTCACCACTGAGCTATAAGGGATCTGCAGTACTGAGAAAAGTACATGGTGTTAGCAGCTCTGACTTAAAATGTGAGTTTGTTGAATAAATCTGTTGCATAGAATTGAATAAATTTGTTGAATAGAAGGTGTTGTTTTAATACACACATTTCTTACCTTCATACAAATTGAGATTGTGGGTTTTTTCCCCCTATTTTAATTTCTTAATTGCCCCCATCACTGTGGTATTGAGTGCCGTCCATGTAAATCCAGCAGGAAGATTCATTGTAGCCTTTTCTGGTCTGAGGTACTGTTCAGATTAAACAAACATTTCCAGGGATACAAGTAAAATGTTCTTTGAATTGGCAGCGAAGCAAGTTAGATATGTATCAAAGAAAACCCAAACAAACAAAAACCCACATACACACACAAAAACCAGCCAAGAAAAAAGGCAATAAAATCCTAAACTCAGGAATGCACACTACAGAGAACATGTACCTTAAGCAGAAGGGAAAATACTGCACAAACAGGTTGAATATTTGAAGTCTTAGTAAAGGAAATTTATCACTGTGCTGAATTTGGAGGCTTTCAAGTGTGAGTTAAGTGCACTTTGGGTAAATATCCTTTAAGGCAATGTTTTGAACCTTCCACTCAAGAGCTATGCAGAGCTCTGTGGAAATCAGCTCTGGCATAAAGTTTCTACTTCAACTACTCTAAACAGCCCCTTGCAGTGTGATGAATTCATGATGCTGTTTCATAACCACAGGTCTTGGTGAGGATTGTTTTAACACAGCCTGTGCCACCTGTGGGGAGCTTAGCCTGGAGCTGCTGCAGCATTCAGTGCCTGTTGTTTGCAGTGCAAGTTTAGGAGCTCAAGTGGCAGATTTGGAGGAATCAAACAGAATTCTTGCTGAATTAATCCCTTGATGACAGTGTGCACTTGCACACCCACAAGTGAACACTTGCACATGCAATGCTGTGCATGGAAGGGAACAAGAAGGCATCTGTGCCCATCCCCTTAGCTTGTTTGCCTTCATTCCTCCTAACTACAGCAGCACAACCACTGAGCACCACAGCTGAGGGAGCCGCACGTAGTGGATTGGATGACAGGACTCTGGGGAGTTCCATTCAGTAAGGGAATTTGTAACTTCAGCAGAGACATCACCTAATGAAGTGTTTCTTTTTTCTGTCTGTTCCCCCTCAGGGAATAGACTTCCTCTGACCTCAAACATGGAGAATTTCCTTCACCTAAATTATATGTTCCCTGTACAACTTCATTACCAGCAGCCTCTCTCGTGGTGAGCCTGGGGAATCCATTGCCAATGCTCCCCTAGTGGAAATGTTGGAGCTCTGTTGGCAAAACCAACATTCCCTGCAGGGTCTGTAATGCTCAGCAATCCTGTGTCAGCTCCTAGGAGTGTCTGGGAGTATCTGCTCTAAAACTCATTTACCAAAATCCTCTTCAGACATCTCTGTGAACAGCTTATGATTTCTCTTTCTCCTGCTGGGAGAAAGAACAGATCTTTTTCCCCCCACTAAGCCAGTGACTCATCAGCCCTGCAGAACTGTTTACATGTTATGTATATGGCATTACTTAGTGGTAAATAACTAAAAATGCTTTTTATTTTTCTGGGTAGAGCAACTAAAGTTTATTTTTGGATGAATAATTTAAATGTGGTGATGTGCACCGGTTTTTCTGCCAGAATGATGTGACATAGGTGGTGTCCAAGGGTTTTGCCTCAGCCCACAGGGTGTAGGCAGTGTGAATGCATGACTTGCTGTAATAAGAACACAACGAATATCTACTGAGCACAGGGATTGTTTTTCAAAGAAGAAAATACTTTACATCCCATGACAGGCTGAAGCCTTTAAGCCAGCTGATCCACAGATGGAGCTCAGTGTCAGGCCCTGCAAAATGAAGTAGTAACTCAGAGCTGTTTTTCATCAGCAGTGGGTTGCAAAAAACACGCCAACCAAAAACCAGTGA